TCATCATGACACCAAAATCTCTTCTTTCTTATGAAATAATTTTCACCCTTTTCTGTCTTCATTTACTACATTGAGGTAGAAGATGTAAATGTGTCTTGTTCAGGACAAAAAAGAATGGGATTCAGAAGTAAAATTGGTGGAGTCATGATAATCAGGGGATAAGGGCAAACAAGAAGAGAAGGAGAATCTTGTAAATCATTTTAATTCGTTCATACATTCATTCTACAAATATGTTTTTAATGTTAGGTGTGCTAGACACTGATGATACACAGGTGAGGAAAAACATGCGTCTTGGCTTAGAACTTTTTCAATCCTATGGGATACGTATAAAATGTCTTGCTACAATGGATGTGTGGATGCACTGTGATTAAATGATTACCCTGTTTACACTAATCAAAGACAGAAAAAGAGAATCATCTTTCTTCTGTGCACAGAGATTGGAATTTTGATTCACTATAGACTTAGAGTACACTAGGAATTTCAAAGAAACTTAGCAGCAATCAAGAAGCATTAAATTATTTGGTTAAGATCACATGTTTATTTTCAGAGATGGAATTTTTCTCTCCTTTTCATGATCCAACACTAGAATATTTTCCTATGTTCTGCCATAAAGAAAAAAAAAATAGCTGCTTACATTATTGTTTATACATCCTTTACTTACATGTTCTAAAGAAAGAGAGAAAATTAATCTCTTTTTTTCTTACATTCATGCAATCAGAGGTTGATACGGAATTATTTGATAAGGCTTCATAAATATTCTCATCTCTCTTCTGCCTTCCATTTTTACTTGACCTTTAAAAAAAAAAACAAATGCTCAAACTATTTGATATTCTAATGATAAAAAATAGCTTTTAACAATAAATCTAAATAGCAATATTTAAGAAATCTTTAATATAATGTGGCATTTAATAAGTCATTCATAACAAAATTTAATTTCTTTGATTTGATTAGAATCTAACATAAATTGCTTATTTTAAATTACTTTTATTTTTACTTACTCATTATTTCTTTTGATTTCTTAAGTTTAAACTTTAAAAAAATCTCTTTAGTCTCTCCAATTCTTTTTTATCATTGCATTATCTTATTTATGCTTAAATTTATGAATGATTTAAGAAAAATTAAGCAATATACTGGGGCCTATGTTTAATTTATAATATTGAATAATATAATAAAATTTATATTCCTAATATGACCTGCATGCCTCTCACATTTATTCAAAGAATTGTAAGATACCTTATGCCTTATTACTTCACCCTGCCCTATATTTTTTCTGTTATCAACACCCACTTCTAATGTTATCATTGCCTTGTTTCAACATGTTACCTAACTCTCCCCTGTAGTTGCCTTTTATTCTCTGACACATATTTTAATACCAATAGCATTATCCACTTTTGATATTAATCACCTTATATAATTTTGAAATCCCTGGAATGATTCTTTCTAATGATTTTCCAGTCCCATGCAAAATTTGTGAGAATTATTAAGAAACTAAACAATATTTTGTGCCCACTAAGCGCATTTTCGGAAGTGCAATATTTTGTAAGGCTACACTGAAGTGTATCAGATACTTGTCTCATAATTATTGTCTTCTTAGTTAAAAGTGGTTATTCTGCAATAAAAACTAAAATTCCATATAGTAAAAATCCATTAAAAAATCACAAAATTTATGGAGACTAAATTTATCAAATTTATCAAATTGGTGTGCAAGATTTATGAAAAGGAAGCAAAATATTCTCCATACACTTTTATTGCATAATGCTTCACATTCTTTATGAATTTTTTTTCTGATTGCATGTACTGATTCTCAAACTAGATTAAATAATTTTATGTCATCTTAGTATTTCTTTTCCATGTACATCTAGGTTCAATACTGACACTTGTTGGTTGATATCTGCCTTGAGATCGTTCAATAACAAAATATTTATAAATTAGTACTAAGGGAAAATAATTTTTATGTGATTCTATATTTGATAAGATCCTGGACCAAGAACATGGAGTCATGGAATTCAAGCATGACTGTGTTTTACAGTTTGGTAAATAAGCCCCTTGTGTTTAGAAGTTTGGAAGGGGCAAACTTAGATGAATTAGAAGAAACCAACACAGAAGGAACAATAGGCTTATAGGTGAAAATAATGAGAGTGGATTTTGATTGATAAGCTTCAAGTGTCTTCATTACTTTCAGTTGGCAAAGACTAATCATAGGTAGTAGGAAATGTAGGTGTAGCAAAGAGAGGGAGGGTGATAAAATATTAATATTAATATTAATTTGGTAAGACCTAAAAATTTGAAGCTATTAGAGTAGATGTATCCATTGGGATAATGTTAAAAAGGGAGAGAGAGAGAGAAAGAGAGAGGGAGAAGAAAAGAGTGAAAGGAAGAGCGAGAACAGAAAGAAAGAAAATGGCTCCAGAGGCTGACTATGATGGAGACTAGGGTTCAGTTATCTTAGGGACAGATTGGTAAGCATAAAAGCCCAGGAAAGGGCACAAAATACATAGTTTAATTGATGGATAAAAGAAAAAGCAGCATATAAACATGATTTATAATTTGTGAATGAAGTCTGAACTCAAGGTTTCTAAGAACATAAGAGAAGCGATTCACATAAGTTATGATGGATCAGGGGGGCCCTTAAGGTCATCTTACAGTTACTAATGACTTGGCTATGAGAAACTTTGAATTCATGATTCAAGGACTTCAACCAATAAACAGACTTGGGTAGGAAATAGGTAACTTAGTCAAAAATGAGCTTAGGCTATAAAGACTGTTAAAATAGTTATCAGAGAAATTGAGTTTCATCTAAAGGGTTCAGTTATTAAGGAGCTCTGGTGCAAATACAAAGTAAGAACCTAGCAGAAGTGCTTCTCTATAAAAGAAAAAAATAATTAGGTGTCTTTGAAGGACAGGGTGGGCCACAGAAAAGAAAGGTGAAAGATAGCTCTGAAGAGAGTCACATCATAAATGATGTACTATGTTCTGTAGGATATAGATCACGGGTTGCTGAGATCATCACAATGGAAAATGTTGATTTGCTTATAAGAAAGTATAAAGTCAGAATTGAGTCAACCTTCAAAGAACACTACATAATGATGCCCTGTAAAATCTTACAGAGACAAACTGTATTGTTAATTAGCCTCCACACAACTTGGTTTTGCAAGATAATCTTGATTGATGAACTGAGTCAGTGATCCTTAAGTCAACATGGTATGTTAATAATGAAGAAATATGTTTGTAATTACTTTTGTGTGTGAGAGTTCTATGTTCTGGGGATGGATTGCTCACTGCGAGATGAGATGAACTACTAAATTAGCACTTCAAAGATAATATTTCCATATGTCATTGATAAAACACAGCACATGCACTCTGGTTGTAAGTTTGTATTTTGTAAGTCAATCTAAATAAATATGGCACGCCACATAATAGACCTTAAAAAAGGTCTCAGTTAAGGACAAGTTTGAGGAAGACAAATATGCCAAAAAGACATTGTAAGGAATACAGTCACCCATCCTTTCCAAATTAACCTAATATTACTCAAGATTATTTTTCCTACATTGTTCAAATGAGTTAATTACAATGTTAAGAATATTATAATAATTCAATAATTTAATAACAGAAAGACTGAAATGGATATTTTGTGAACAGACAAGAGAATCATTAGAATTCATTTGCCGTATATCCACACAAATTAAATTATTTTCATTCCAGTTTTTTTGTAAATTTGCCTCATTATATATCTAGGCCCATCTACTTTCACCTGTATACACGATGAAAGTAGGTGGGAAGGAACAGTGGGAAATTCGGTGTTTCAAGGTCTCTTACAATTGTATTCTAGCTTACAGAGTATGGACTCATCTCCCCTCACTTATTCTGGGGTAATATTGTCTAAATGGAACTCTATTACACCTTCTTATTTTTTATGAGAAGATCCAATTTTATGGATTCCTTTTCAAATAAATTATTTGTACTTAACCTAATCACAAAACTACAAAAAAATATTTAAAAATTTAAATTTGTCCATTACAAAAATAGAATATTCTCCTGATAATTTTGTTCTGTGCACTAATATGACCTATAATTATATGATAAGAATTGCTTAATACATAAGTATTATATATTAATATAATTAATACAGTAGTTAAAAGGATGAATAGATATTCTAATTTAATTCTAATTCTTCTGGAACCTTTAAAACATATTACTTGGAAAATAGCATCAGCATTCTGTTCACTGGATACCATGTAACAGGAACCCTGCAAATGTATGATAGCTGAAAAACATTCACTTTGGAAATTTATTTTCTAATCAAGTATCAATGCAGTGCTGTTTATCATGCAATATGCACAACTGATTCACCTTCTTTTGTAACAGTTACGAGGGTAATGCAAGATAATAATTCAATATATCAGCCCCATTTGAACCAATTTGTTGCTTTATCGAACAATGTAATTAAAATATGTTTAATCTGCTGGATATTTAAATGTATTTACATGGCAATAAAACAGGTTTAACCAACATTTAAAGAGTCCCACTCATCATCATAAAAACAACATGGAAGGAAAAGCAAAGAGAGCAAGAGGTACCTGTCTATGCGCATAGTGTTCATTAGACCCAGTGTATCAGACCCACTGGTCAGACTGGTTTGGAAGACAGAGTGCTTGTATAAATAATAAATACATTCCTACAACAGAGAATATCTTTGCTATGATAATAACAAAAACTTAAAATATATGAGTAACTTCATTTCTGCCAAAAGACTGGAGTAATCTTGGAAGCATAAATGTTTTACTTTGTAAATATTTCAATGTCAATACATATTTTAAATAAATATTAAAGTGATGTATAATGCTATTCTTCCTAGGAAGCTATTTCCATAATTTTCAAACACAATTGAACATCATTGGATTAAATTGATAACATACAATACAATTTATCTAGAGTAGGATGCTTGTGACCAAGTAATCAATTCTTTATAAGAGTAAATTTAAATGTATCTTCTCTCCTAGGTGAGAGCCTCCCAGAAATAAATGCAGCAGGTGAGTATTATTAATTGCTTCACCCAAATATAAAATTTAAAATGTAACATCAAAGACACTGGACACCATAGTCCCCAGCCTTCCCTGCTTCTGTAGAAACCCAGTGACATCAAATTCTCTTGCTGATCAAGAGCAAGAATTCCATAGTTGTAAGACACAGAGTCTAGAGACAGCTACTTGGGTTCAGATTTCTCCTTTACAACTCATTGCCTTTAGCTTTGTACAAATCATTTAAAATACCTACCTTAGTGCATTTACCTTTCAAATAACACAAATAAATAAAAACCCACCTTATGGTATTGCTGTGATGATTCCATGGTTGAGTGTGTGCAAAGCAAGTAAGCAGTGCCTGGTTCATAGTATGGATTGTGTAAATGTGTGTTCATGTTATTGTTTATTCCTGCTCTGGGTGTCCTTAGGATCTTTCTATGGAGAAAATACTTTAAACATAGTTTAACACATAAATATGGGACACACAAAAAAATTTGGGAGACTGCTGACTAATTTGAGTATGTCAAGGAAAAAGACTCAATAAGAAATGTAGTAATACCCATCCATATCCAACCTCCATGAGCATGTAAGCAGACTGCAATTAAGGGTTGCAATTATTTTCTTGCTCTTTTTTTCCCTTTTTCACAGAATATTTTTAGAGTGGAATTTGATGGGACTACTTTCAATGTAGTTTGGATTTATAGTCTCAGTTCTCAGTATGTTTTCAAGCAAATACAAAATATATGAATGTGGAAGATTAATTTTAATTATCATTTTACAGATAAAATACTTCAATTTAAAAATGTCTAATTGAGCTTCCATAGGTCATGCAACTATTATAACAGGTAACCGTATAGTAGAATTAAACAGTCAAGCTTCAGATTCTCATTTCAAACCCTTCCTCTGTTCTAAGGCTATGAATAATAAAACTCATAAATTGAAATACTTCTATTTGGAATCCCATTATATCAAACTAATAAAGGATAAATTCAGTAAAAACATAATGAAGTGTATGAACAATACAAAAAGGAAAGTTATTAGTACTAAAACTGACCATGCTGTCCAGGTTGAAGTTTCAGGGCACAATTTGTAATCCAAATTCCTAAGAAAATTTCTAATACTGAAGTCATTAAAAACTGTGCTTTCTGAAGTCAGTTACATTTCCTCCTCTGGTGTTCTAGCTTACTGTCAATAGTACCAGTCTTATTCCCCTGCCTTTATACTTGCTATTCCCTTGGCCTAAAATGCTATTTTCTTCTTCCTTTTCTTCTTTCCTTAAGATCAGATACAAATATTTCCTCCTCTGAATTTCCATATTCTGGGTTAGCTACTAGGGTAATTATTGTTTTGTTGCTATTAGTTCTGCTCAGACCTCTTTCTTTACTTCCTACAAAAAGTGGGAGGATACATAGCCCCAGCGTCACCACTCACAGTATCCCCACTCCTCTGGCAAGAGTAATCGGTCTAGGTTTGGTGTAGCCTGTACAATAAGAGATTTTTTCTGAGATTTTTCTTACTGTACCAACTTGGAAACTCTCTCTTCCTGGCACATAGAGCAGGAAACATGAACCTGGATGACCTGGTGGTTATATTCTCTATCATATGAGAAAGCCCATCAAAATGATGGAAAGTAGAGAGAAAAGATAGGTAGAAAGGTAATACTGGCAGAGTTGAATTCCTTTTATAAACCCTGAGGTCATCAGTTATACCTGGGTTCCTATAGAACTTCCTTTGATTATGAGAACTTCTTTGTTATCCTTCCAATCTAACTCCTTTTTTTATATATGCAAGTTAATTGGGTTTCTGTCACTTGTAACCACAAAGCCCTAACTTATAAGAATACCCACCCTTGAACACATGCTATCAGGGAACTCTCATATTCTATTTTATTGTGTTTGTTTATTTTCTTACACATTCCCTAAATAATAATGAATACTTTTTGAGGTGAGGAGGTGGTGTTTATATCAGATTCTGTAAAATATTAGCAAAATAAAATACATGATTATTGAATAAATATGTTAACTAATGACTAACTTAGCAAAGCTTTGAAAATAAAGCAAATTAAATTTCATTACATGCAATTGGGAATTCTAAAACAATGAATTTTTATAAATTAATTTTTGTATTTTTCTTCATAATAAATTATAAATTATAATATTTTACCTCAGTTGTCGTATATCCCAATGTTATTATTTTGCTGACAAAATATATAGGCCCCCAAATGATGAAACTTCATCAAGATCACGTGGTTGGTAGATGAACCTTCTCAATCTTACTCTTAGTGTAAATGTAATTACACCAAGAGTACCAAAAAAAAAAAAAAAAGTAGAGAAGGAATATCCAAAAAAAGTAATTTAATGAGTTGAATTTGATACAATTACTTATTCAGCTTTATTCCTGCTGTTGCTTTCAATTACTGGTAGTTTCCTTTATTTGTGTTCATTATTTCTGCATTTAACAATGAATTTTCCAGGAATTAAAACTCTATAAATTATAAAAATAGATTTATTTCTCTTTTATGTATTTATGTGTATCCAGCAGAGAGTAAATCAATAGTAAAAACCTGTCAATATGGCACTGCAGGATACATAATTGATTCTTAAGCTTTTGACATTTGTCCTAAATATTTACCCTGAGCACCATCCATCAAAACTTTTTAAAGATTTTTCCTATAGTAGAAATAAACAGTGAAAACTGATGTGAATCAACCTTACAATATGTCTCTGAGACAGGCTTCTCACAGAAAACTTCATGAGAAATGAAATCTTTCAGAAATGTGCATATATATTTTAGTCTTCAAATTGTAAAGAATTCTAAATCAGATAAAGAGCATGTGAAATTTAAAAAGGCAATATTCACTCTTCTTTTTGTCAGTAAAAAATATTCTTTCCTTTAAAAAAATATCAAGATTAAGCTGTTTATGTGAAAATTCTATCAAGCAAAATGAAGGATTAATTTAATCTATTTAATTTAGTATCTACCAAAAAACACCTTTGCTTTATTCATACACCATATCTAATTTTTCAGAATAAAGTTCATCATAACATCAAAGTATATCCCAAATTTGATCACTTCTCACCACCTCCACTACTATCACCTTCAGTTGGCCACCATCATCTTTTGCCTGAATTATTTCAGGTAGATAGCTCAATAGAGTCTTAACTAGTAGCACTCTCTGTGTCTTATTGTCCTAGACACCCCACTTCCCATTTTCTGTTTTATACACATTATCCAGAGGGATTCCATTAAAACATAACTTATGTTTTGTCTCCCCTAAGTCTTCTCAGCTTATTCAGAGGAATGATAACCTTCATTATGACCTATCAGGACTACACAATCTAGCCCAAGTTTACCTACCAGAGTTTCAATTACCAAATCACTCTCAGCATGTTCCAAGTCACCTCTTTTCCTTACTGTTCTGTGAACACATCATACATGCCTGCAATTCATGGCATGTACTTTTCCTTCCCTCTGCCTGAAATGTTCTATGACCTGTTATTTACACGTTATGTATTTACTCTCTTCATATATCTAAAAAAATGTTACCTGTTCAGCAAGACGTTGAGTGACCATCCTATATAAAATTAGCCATGCTCTTGCAACATGCTTTGATTTCTCATAGCCAGTGTCATCAGCTAACATATTGAATGTTTATTGCCTTATTTTCTATCTCCATTCACTATAATGTAAAGTACATCAAGGTAGGGACATTGTTTTGTTCTTTACTATATCCTCAGAAACAGGTGAGGGCTCAAAAATATGTACTGGACAAGAGAATAAATGAATGTAAAAAGAATGGAATAGTATATTTATAATCTATACTGAAGCATTTAAGGATATTTAAAATCATTTCTAACTATTGTCATTACTTTAATAATTTTCATTTCAGAGTTTGTAGTTTTAATTCTAAATATATTTTACAAATTCAACAATGGGAGTTAAATGTTTGACTTAAAGAGAACATTTTATATATTTATATTTCAGGTTTGTGACTTTGACAGTGTGTCCTTGCCAATTTGAACCTTCAGATGGGACACCAGCCCTAACCAACACCTTGATTACAAACTTGTGAGAACTTCTGAAGGAAAAAAACCCACCTAAGTTGTTTCCAGGTTTCTGATCCAGAGAAACCACAAGATAATAAATTTGTATTGTTTTTAAGCTGCCAAGTTTAGGGGTTATTTGTTATGTTGCAACAGATAACTAATATGGATTGGATAAATGTGCCTGAATTTATCTGGACATAGAACTTGAAAGATAAAATTTTCTGGTATTTCCTAAAGACATTTGGGGAAGGCAGTATAGAAATTTATCATTAGCAAAGTGTAGTTACTTTTAAAATAAATTTTTCTTTTTCTTTCTTTCTTTTTTTTTGTTTGTAGAAGCTTTATTTTTAATAGCCCAAACCTGGAATAAACCAAAATGTCATTCAGTGGGTGACTGGTTAAACAAATTGTGGTATATCCATGCCATGGAATATTACTTAGCAATCAAAAAGAAGCTATTGGGACATTCAGCAGCTTGGGTACAACTTAGGCATTAGGCCAAATACATCAAGCCAGTCACAGAAGCTCATAGACTATATGATTCCATTTACATGACATCTTCAAAATAACAAAATTGTAGAGATGGAGAAGAGATCAGTGGCTGCCAGGAAAGAACTTGTCCTTGTTTCGGACTGATAGCTATGTGCCATGGCGATGTATTGTTAGCAGTAAATTTTCCAGGAGTTCATCAACCTTATACCTAGGTGTGTAAATCTTTACCAGGACGAGAGAAGTTTTCCTCCATTATTTCCTCAATAGATTTTCTATGCTTTTTACTTTTTCTTCTTCTCCCTCAGAGATACTTCTACTTCTTATATTTGGGCATTGTACATTACCACATATTTCTCAGAGATTTCTTCATTTCTCTTAATCCTTTTTTTATTATTGATTGCCTGAATTAATTTGAAAGTCTTGTTTTCAATTCTGAAATTCCTCATTCTTCTCAGTCTAATCTGTTGTTAAAACTTTCCACTGTATTTTGAAATTTCCTAAATGACACTTTTGTCATTTAAAGTATCTATATTTTTAGTGAATTTTTTATTCATGTCTTGAAGTTTTTATTGTTGTTGTTGTTCTTTCTTTGCATTGGTTTTCAACTTTCTCATCAATCTCATTGAGATTATTTGTGATCCATATTTTGAATTCCATATGTGACATTTAAAAATTTTATTTTTGGTTGTACTGCATTACTGGAGAGCTATTGTTATCCTTTGGGCTGCCTAAACACAATGCTTTTTCATATTGCCAGAGTTTTTATGCTGGTTTCTTCTAATCTAGAGCTTCTTCCCTCAGCTCAGAACAGATAGCTTTGTGGTTCACCTGTTCTCATCTGCCAGGAACTCTGCTGTTCAGTGTAGAGAAGAACAGTTACATTGTCCTTCTGCTCATGCAGAGTGGTACCCACTGTGGTGTTGCTGGCAATTTGGGTCAGTTAGATCTCAGACTCTTGGGAGAGTGTTCAGGTGCCAGCAGTGGTGGACTAGGTTAGGGGTAATCTCCAGTTCCCAGACCCCAGATGGCATGCTTGAGTCCTGCTCTGGAAAGATGCTCAGGCAAGAGAGGCTTGGATACTCTGTGGGGCTTTCACACTGCTGTTCCACTGCATCTCCCTATTCCCCTGTGATTATAACAGTCCAAATAGTTACTGGGGGATGTTCATGTGGATGGGTGGGCTGTTCCCCAATCTGTTGCTAACATGTCAGGTAGGGGCAGGGTGGGTCCCTCTCTGTTATGGCAGCATATATGGGTGGCCATGGGGATTTGCTCCCACCTGGGTACCCTGGCATTAGCAACAGCAGCTGCAGTGCAACAGCACTTATCCCAGGAGCATGTGGGAGAGCCTATCCCTGCACTTTCCTTGGCCCAAGAGCAGCATGCTGGGTAGATGCAGCACATTAGGGGCTGGAGCTCCAAATAGTGCTGGCTGTAGTGCTCAGGGCTCAGAAGCCCTTGGGACCCCACTGTGTCTCCTCTCTGGAGCAATGCTGTTCTGCAATCTCTAGGCAGCTCCCTGAGTTAGTCCATAGGCCTGTGCAGCTGGAGGTACCCTCTTGCTAGTTAGATTGCAAGGTCTATGGGGGTAGTGTAGAGCCCTAGGGGTCTCTCACTTGCCCTTTCCCCATGTGGGCACTTCTCCTGGCAATTGGCAATCCAGCTAAGCAGGTCATTTAACTTCCTTTTGCATTGCTTTACATGACTCTTGTCACTTCTCTGGTGAATCTCAGTGCTCTCTCTTAGAGAGGCAAACATCTACTTGCCACTTTCGATACTCTCTATGGGAATTGTGTGTGTTGGCTGCTTCTGGTCTGCAATTTTGGCCCCCTCCCCTATCAAAATAAAATTTTCTTGGTCCTCAATGGCATCATGACTCAGATCTAAGAGCAATCAAAATTTCTTAAAGCTTTTTCATTTTTTTAATATAAGGAGATGTTAGAAAAAATATCCCATAACATATATGTAAAGATTAAATATGCTTTGATTTGATTATTATGCTCAATTGGTTTCCCACATATTCTATTTTATTGTTTCTAAAAGAAGTTTTTTATCTATGGAACTTTCAAATTTCTATCTCTTATAGAGCCTTTTTGATAGTTGATTCTGTTCATTTTGGTTTTGGTACACCCACATCCCAGAGATTATTCTTTGCCTACACAATCTCTCACCTAATTTTATGACCATTTTGTTTTCTTTCTGACTCACTATTGTTTTTCTTTGATGAATTGGAATTTTTTTCTCCACCGTATTCACTTTTTCTCTTTTACTTTATTTAACTAAGACCTTGTATACCAAAAAAACAATGTTAAAGATCACCAAGGCTTTAGGGGTTGCTATTATACTTCAGCAAAAATAATTTAGCACATATGTGTTACAATACAATAGTCGGTCATTTGTAAAACAAGAAATTCAATAAGAGTTACTGTTATGGGAAAAGAGTTGGCTGTAGCTAAAGCTAACAGAATTTAGAAGCCACAAAACCAGCCTCATTAACCTAGAATTTCTGACTCTAAACTTCCATGAAAACAAGTGGGTTTTTAATATTTTGACTCTGAAGGGAATTATGATATCAAGTAAAGATGTTCAGTTTTTAGTAGGTGAGGAGTGAAATAGAGAGTATTTTTATTTTAGAATAATTTTATCATAGAAAGCAATTACTGTGCCCTTTTCTGCTATTGGTGAATTACATTCAATCTCTGTGTAATTAAATGTTTATTGTAACTGGCCCAACACTTCATTTCATTAGATCTGTGAAAGAAAACTACTGTATTACTTTCCCCTTGTCACTTAGTAAGTTACATCTCTGTGTGTAACTATAACCTAGAACTTAATTATGTGTCTTCAATATAATGCAATTCAAACTATTAATTATAATATTTGTCCTTGGAACTCCTTACCATCATCACATATAAGGAAATAAGAAAAGAAAAACAATAGAATGACTTATGCAATCATAAACAACAAAATCAGTTATTTTCTTCTTTCAAGTTATTTCCTACAAAGGAGCTAACCTTCAATTCAGCAGATATATTCTATTGTAAATTATCAACATCCCGAATTCATGTATGTTCAAGTGTTAGTTGGAGACAAGTGAAAAATGATTTAAAGCAATAATTTTATATTACTTAACCTAGAAGGATATCTGATTTGAAATTATTCTTTTAAGAGTTTTTAACCTACATTTGGGTTACTATTCAACCTATTCACTTCAAATGAACATTGTTTTAAAACCCATGGAACACCTTTTGTCTATGAAGAGATTTTGTCTTTTCTGAACTCAGTTATAACCATATATTAATATTTTAGCATATCTCCAGATTGAGATAACAAATTTTACATGTAACACCAACTAGATTATTTCTTGACCTAGGTGTGGGCCTGTAGCTGAGGCAGGCTCACATTTGTGTTGCAGTTGTCTGCTTACCATTACCAATGAAAATATGAATCAACCTTTTAAAGCCAGGACTGAACTTCTCTTGCCATCAATGGAACATATGGTCAAATGACTTTTTTTTAAAAAAAACATTGTACATATAGTATATATGATCATCATAGTGTTAAAAGATAAATTTTGGCACATTAAAATTTTAAAGAGTTTATTTAAGTAGACAATGGAGGAACCCAGGGTGTCAGAGTCACCTTTTGACTCTCCTGAAGGTATATATCCCACTTTGAAATTCTAAGAATTCAACCTTGTCTCTTAATTTGTAGAGAATCCACAGTTATTCTTCCTAATTCATTTTAGTTTCCAAGAACAAAACTACTCTATTTGCCAGAAGTAATCCTTCACATGCATTTCGCATTTTATTTTTTTCTTACTTTCTCCAGGACTTTATTTCATTAGTCTTTTCTTTCATATATATGTTTAGTCTTTTCCTACATTATACTTCCTTTCCTTCAGCTTAAAATGTTCATAGCTCTACAATAATATTAAATATCAAATTCCATCAATTCATTTTTTTCTTCCTTAGCTCTCAGACAACTTCTTTTTCAAAAACTAGTTGACACGAACTAACTTCCCTTTTTCTACGTCCATTCTCTCAATCAATAGTAATATGATCTTCATCACATTCTTGAGAGTGATCCTCTAGTCAGCAGTTAACGTCCTTATCAACAAACTTGAAACCTTCCAGTCCTCATTCTAATTGTGTATGAACAGTGGGCCTATTGAGTCTTATTTGACTTCTTTTCTTGTTTAACCTTTAGGATCTTACACTATTGAGTGTTTCTACCAATCTGTGGCCTCTTCCTCAATGTTTATTTTGTTGACTCAGCATTCTACTGTGTGTATTTATTTATTCCACCACTTGACGATCTCATCCATATCCACAGCTTCAATTCTCACTGCAGAGTTTCCTAACCTTGGCTTCACACTGGAAAGGTCTAAAAATTATTAATGGCTAAATCTACCCCCAAGTATTCTGATTTAATTGGCCTGGATGTAGCATGAATATTGGGATCTTCATAATCTTCTTGAAGTTTAAGTCCCCTGCTCTTGGTTTTTGCAATTAATTTTTCAATTCAAACAATGCCTCAAAATTA